GGCAGAACAGCCAGCAGGACTGCACCTGGGCTGCACTCCACAACCAGAAGGCTGGAGGGTCTGAAAATGGAGGGAATGGCTCTTGGGAGTGTGCTGAGATGAATTCTGATGAATTTGGGATGCCAGGAGGCCTGGGGAACAATATAGGTGTCGACCAGAAGTTGGTGTTGGTTGTGCCTATCAAGTAGACCTCTGGGGAGAGATAGAAGTTGGGACAGCAGGTAACCAAGCCAAAAGGCTCAAGTGGGAGGTGTTGTTGGTCTTGGGTTGTAGAGGATGATGACTTGAAGGGATAGCAGGAAACCAGACCAAAAAGCAATGTTGTTTGGTGGAGTTGTGGTTCTGGTAGTGGTTGTTTTGGTGTGATTACGAGTGGTATTGTATGTACACAGATCCGAAGTTGTCAATTTTGCAGAGTTGTCAACAATAAAGCGACAGGCAGATTAATTACTGGATTAGGTCTGACACAGACTTTTCTGTGGTCTTTTGACCCTTAGCTGGGCAATCAATACGTGAATTGCTTGATTGTTGACAACTCTGGAATTGTGACGCGTCAAGTTCGCAAGGCGCCATTACGCTAGCGCTGTGGTCTGTGCACATCCAGATAGTAAATTACATACATCTTTAACTCATCACATAACCACTCTTTATGTTAGTCGCGATCGTACCAGACTTCCCAAAATTTATTACATCTGATTTTTATCTAAGCTCATCTAACCATCACGCACGCCTCTCTGACAAGAGCTACTACTCCGCCCAGATGACCGTGTTCAGACCCACTGGATTGCCAGAGTTGGGATCTGATGGGCCGGTGACAGTCAAGTTCCCAGCAAGAGCTCCCAGCTTTCCAGTGGTAGTGTCGCGCTTCACAATGGCCACATTATCCGAATTCTGATCACCAATCGCAACATAGTCTCCAGCCTTATTGATCTCGAAGCTACGCGGAAGTAGGCCGTAGGAGGAGGTCAGGTCTGTCCAGGCAATCGAACCGTTGGCTGCGATGGTGTATTGAGTAAGAGAATCATAGGGCTGGAAAGACTGGTCGCCTCGGTTCGAAGTGTATAGAAAGTTGCCTTGGACTCGGATCTCTCCAAGGCTTGCTCCTTCAGGTGCAGAGCTGTTGCCCTTATACGGAGTGATGATTTGCTTCTGAGTCAGTTTCAGGCAACCTTCGTGAGGGTACGACACACTCCATCCAGTCACGGTATTCGAGAGCTCGTTGGCGACGTAAAGGACAGTGCCCTTGCCCTGTGCGAGACTTGACTTAGAGCACGCAGGTGTCCAGAAAGCTGCATGGCGAGGACCAGCGCCGTAGAATGTTGTTGTAGAAGGGCACTTGGTCAGCTTGCCAGACTTCTTGTCGATCTTGTTGATGTGTATCTTGTCAGAACCAAGATCGGTGACGAGCAAGAAGTTGCCCGTTGGATCGACAAGAACTTGATGCGGGTGTGGCGCCTCCTGACGATCTGGATCCGCGCCAGGACCATCCAGCGTGTAGTTCAACAGCTGGAGCGGCTTGCCATCTTTCAGAGGTAATTTGTACGTCGACACCTGCGCGGTGTGATAGTGTGCATTGGCGATGAAACCCTTGCCATCTTTTCCACCGTACAGGACTGTTGCGACTCCACCCCGAGGAGTAGTTGTGTTTCCAGTTTTGGTCAGTGCGCCATTAGCGTCGACGGAGTACGAGACCAGGACTCCATTGCTCGTTGGGTCCACGAAGTTCTCATCGGGGATGTACAGCTTCTTGCCTGCGGCGTCGTAGGTGATCCAGCTGGGCAGTGTCTGCCCTGTCTTTTCCGCGCTCACCAGTGTCAACGAGTTATTGTTGAAAGAGAGGTGACTTATAGTCCCGGAGTAGTGCGCCGTGTACAGATTCGCCGCAGCCGCAGCTCCGCCAAAGAGTGGGATCAATAATGACTGTGTCAGCAACATGTCGGTCGCGAAAGTTGCAAGAGCAGTGTCTGCACACCGTGGGGAAGCGCTCGCTATAAGTACGACATTTATTCCTTACTCGTAATCACCGCGATCGTCCCTTTTTCATTGCACTTGCATGCTTAGCCTGCACTTGAAACATTGTTTAGAAAGGCGTAAGCCAAAGGGCCGAATTTAGCACACGTTTTCGAAGCTGAGCTCTCCCGAGTCAGCGCAATTTATCGGTCTTCCGGTCCGCATCATCCGGAAAACAAACCCGAATTCATTCAATGCGGGGAATTTACGTTCGTCCAAATTCCCCTCTTTACATTCATCGGCAACGAGAACGGTTTGTGTGCTGCTTTCCGGTCTTGAACGCGTTTATCATGTCGTTTTACACAGTTGTTGCAGGAGGCTGTGCAGCTTCGCCGCTCAATTGAATGCGTCCTTCTCCGTCTGCGCTGTTGACCTACCGATGAATCTCTTGATTGCAATATGCGTGTAGCTCTGCTATAGGACGGCTATTTCTGTGTATATTGCTATTGAATCCTTCTGCATAACATGTTGTTGCACTGCTTGCTGGTCGTCCGTGCAATAGGGGTTCTTGTTACATAGATGCAGAGCAAGCGCACACAAAAACTTATACCTCCTTGTTCATTACATGGTGCCTTGGGTGAGCTGCAAGAAACTCCAGATGAAGCGCGCGTGCAGGTGATTAGGTACACTCGCGTTTTAGGGTTAGCTGATTCGTACCTCAATCGGCACTCAGCAACGAAAACAACACGCAGCTCAACCTACACCAACCGTCACAGCCGTCAATTTAAGTGGCACGCACTTGTCGCTGCAATGACAGAAGTCGCATGGCCGCCGAAAGAAGGTGTATCAACGCCCACAGTCTCTGTACAGGATAGCGTCTTCGCCGTAACGGGCTCAGCGTTGATCAATGCGCCAGCGTCGTTCGTCTTCGACATCTTACTAGACACATCTACCTACCCAGAATGGTGTACATTTGTTCCGAAAGTTGTTGTGGACGAGCAACCTTCCTCTGCGGCCTCTGATTCCCCAGTGCTCCAACTGGGCACCAAGTTCACGTTCTTCGCCGTGATGGGCAATCCGGGCTCCAAGCAGACGCCTACACACCTGTTCATCAGCGATATGTCAACGCCATCAGAGCCATCTTTGTACGTTTCCTCCGTGACCCTTGAGGCGTCTCCAATGTACACAACAGACCTCTCGAACGTGTATCGCGTTGCCTGGAAGGGCGATAAGATAGACTTCTACGCCAAAGGTCTGAACGTCGAGCGCTTTCATGAAGTCATCGTAAGAGGGCAAGAGCATTGCGAAGTACGAACATGGGAGGTCATGGGTGGTGTCCTGGCGTATATCGTCAAGTGGCTCCATCGAAAGACGCTCGATAGAAAGTTTGATGAATGGTGCGCAGAGCTGAAGGCATTTGGTGAGAGGAAGTGGGCAGAAGGACAACACCAGGGAGCCAGCGTGGGCGAAAGCGGGTTGTGAACGCTACGTGCAGGCTCTCAAGTTACGGAAAGAGTCGGACGAAGTAGGCAGTGCCCCAAATCAGGGTAGTCAACTCGTGTCTGCTATCTTTCTGTTGGCTGATGATGAGTCAAAGCACTACAGGCAATTAAGTTCACTTTAGCTGGCAGCTAGACTTAGCTTAACGACCTCCATGCTTGATTGTCTGAAGGACTCCGAGCTTTTCCGAAATGAGGCGGCCTGCAGCATCGGTCTTTTCGGTGATTTCGGCCGCGCTCACCAACGCTCTCAACACCAACACCATTGTAGTTGCGACTTGTCACCACGACCACAAGCTCAGCTCAGCTGCTACTGTGCGCCTCAACGTTTGCTAGATGTCTGCACGGGTCAGACTACCTCAATTGCGACCAACTCTTCTTTTTTCAATGTTCAGTCTGCAATCGGCAATCTCGGTCTTTAGCGGTGATCTCGCTCTTCGGCTTCGCGGATTGCTACCAAACCAAGGGCCAAATGCCGACATAATCGCATCACTTCAGTTTACGTTGCTGCTTTCGGACCTGAGTTGGTCTGGCATGCTCGTGTATAAAGCGCGGACGCATCGCTGGGAGGACTACACTTCTTACACCAGCACAGCTCTTCCAAGTTGTCCCCTCGATCATCAATACAAGCCAATCTATATCACCACTTCAAGACATGGACACCATTCTAGATCAAATCCGGGCACTAAATGCCATCGCAAATGCGAACGAGCGACAGCACATCCAAGAACAGCTTCGAGACGTACAACGCGAGATTGCCTCCAACTTTGATCTAGTCTGGGGCTTAGGATCCGGTGTAAGTGTTGAGTTGCGCTCTTTTAGGCTTCAGTGCTAAGATATCGCAGCACATGCAGTGGGCGCTCATACAAATTGGTTTTGATCTCGGTATATTTACAACGCTTTCCACCAACGCCAACCCAACCGGCCTACAACATTTCCTCGATGCAACCGGTGCATCGCCGACATTGCTCGCTCACATCCTTCGGTCCATGGCTTCTTTTGGCTTCATTGTTGAGACGGAGAGAGATACCTTTACCGCCAACCGTATCACGAAGGCGCTTGCCCACCCCGATGTCGTTGGTGCCATCCCGCATGTCACCCATCTCCACGCTCTGACCGCCCAAGTACTGCCTCGCTATCTACGCGAGCACAACTACCAGGCCATGACTAACACCAAGGATCTTCCCTTCCATTTGGCTCTCGGTACAGACCTGCCGCCTTTTGAATGGATGAAGCAGCATCCCGAACATATGAAAGCGTTAGGTCACGCAATGAAGATCGAGCGAATGCATAGCTGGGTCAAGTCTTACCCTATTGAGACAACTATCGGCGAGTTCGAAGCGGCGGCTGACTCTGCACTCCTCGTCGACGTTGGTGGTGGCTTCGGGCAACAAGCTGTGGCTTTCAAGACGCAGATACCGTCCATCTCAGGCCGTATTGTGGTCCAGGATGTTGCCTCAACATTGGCTTACGCACCCGCAATCAATGGCATCGAGTTTCAGGAACACGATTTCTTCACGCCACAGCCTATCAAGGGTGCGAAGTTCTACTATCTCCGACACATTCTGCATGATTGGACCGACGAGGACAGCGTTTGCATCCTTCAAAATCTCATCCCTGCTTTGGCACCAGAGTCGCGCATCGTGATCGACGAGGTAGTTCTGCCAGATACCAACGTGCCTTGGCAGTGCGCGTTCATGGACCTGACGATGTCTTCCTCGCTGGGAGGGTGCGAGCGTAGTAGAGATGAATGGGACAACCTCTTAGGTCGTGCTGGTCTTCGGATTGTGGAGGTGCACACCTACGATGATGTTAGGAAGCACAGTGTCATTATCGCCATGCCAAAGAAGCGGGTATACTAAGCTATGTTAAAGTGCTGGTGATGTACTTCTATACTTTTCAAGTCGATCACGTTTTCACTTGATCACATTATAACTATTCACAATCCAATATTTTCGCTTTCTCTCATTGGCACCCTCATGCACAACGCATATAGTCCAGATCTTCGCAAGTAATGATCATGTCTTTTCCATCAACACGAGTTGGTATCCTGGGTTGCAAGTGTGGAAAGGAGCACGACCACGGGTCAAACCAGAAATCTGAAAATTTGGGTCGCTGATAGAACACTGAACCTTATAATGGAGAGTGTGGTCTGGTAGGCTGCAGAAGATGCAGGTTCATCGAGACAGGTTACTTGCGCAATGCAATTATGCGGAGGGCTTTAGTGTCAATCGGACGCTTGTTGACTGGCTAATAAAACTCCTGCTTGCCGACGATCAGTTTCTATCTTGATCGCGATAGCGACTGGAAGAGTGAGCAAAAAAGATAGCTTTTATGCATCGCGCTTACAGCGACAAGAGACAAAGTAATTTGTCGACAATGAAGGGCTCTTGATTAACGAGAAACATTGGATGCAAACCTGTCAATGGGTCAGAAGTTATGTGAGACATTCAGTGCTCATTTGAAGACTATCTACAACCTGAAAGAGTCTCTCAGAACTACAATGATTGCTGGGTGTTCTATGAAGAGCTCGCTTAGGCAAAAGAGAAGCCACCACCATCACCCCTTCCGCAAATTCGACATAGTCATTTGTGCCGGCGTGGGGTGCTGTAGTACAGTGATAGCTACGGTAATGACAACGTAGGAGTTTCAGGTCGATGGAACACTGCGCTGAATTGCTACCTAGCTAGGAGAAGACAATATAAACTGGCCCTGGAACGTGTTAGTCCACAACAGTCTAAGCAAGGGTAATTGGGTCTTGTACAACATCATCTCAAGCGCCCAAAGCATACAAAGAAGCAAAAAGAAGCTAAAAGAGAGCAAAATTTATGACCTAACCAGGGGTCGAACCTGGAATCTCTTGATTACTGATTGGATCGTAGTCAAGCGCCTTGCCATTGGGCCATTAGGCCAGTCACTAACTGAGATAAGACCTACTCTTATTATAGATAATATGACCTACATTTACTTAGGCTTCTAGCCAGCTCAAAACGGTGTTACTTTCCGGCTTCGAGGGCGGTGACTTTTTGCGGTGTGGGGCACAAGGAAACTTTGAAACTAACGCGAAATTCTTGACTCTACCAATCATCGGTGGTCAACACTCACGCCGAGCACCCCAGCACCCACAGCGAAGTACTAGTTATTAGCTTCGTCCGCGTATCGCAGAAAAGGCCTGATTGGCACACCCATTGCTCTTCCAAACAATGAAAGTAGATGGTCTCCAATATGACCCTAGCGTTTATCCACGCGGACATCGCGAGCGCATCGAGACTCTGCTTCGGTTCGGTCTCCCAATCAAGTCGAGACTAAGTACTATGCTGTGTCATTGCCACGGCGTTGCTAAATGGCCGTAGTCGGTCGGACAAGGGCTGTCGTCAGTTCGTCGAATCCTGAATCTATTGTAGCATTCCAAGCATAGCACCAAAGTATATGGGCCCTTGCTATGAGATCAATCAAAGCAATTGGCGGAGGCGTGATTATGAGCTCATCAACCTGGCTTGTGATATGTTTGACAACGAACTCGGCGTTAATGTCGTTTCTGGCATTGTAAAGAGCACAGGCAGCATGTGCGTCTTGCAGCGGCCAGGGCATGCGTTCGTCAAAAAGCACGGTATGACACCAGAGGGTCGAACTAGTCTCCACCATCGTCTTGGATGTTAGCTTGATCTGATCAATTGTATATCCGATACTTGATCTGGCGAGTGGTCCAATGTTTGTCCATGAAAAGCTCGAGGGTTTTCCCGAACCGTAGGATTTGCTTAGCGCCATCTGATCATCATGGTCATTAGAGCCGCCCATGAAGTGACCGAGGGAGTCCAATGAAGTGATAGCAGTGGGCATATCAAAGTCAAGTAGCTGGTCTTCGAATGCTGTGGGAATGTGGATTTCTACAAGATCGAATGGAGTTATTGTGACGTCAGTATCCTGTGAATCGGCCGTTGCTGCGATCGACTGATCTAGCTGATTCTTAGAGATATCGAGTGCTGACAGTGCTGTCGGTACATCAGGTTGTCGAGGGTACGTTCGAAGAGATCCCCCCTGCTACAGGGAGCACAACGCGGCTGTCCGATGTCGCATTCCCGTTTTGCTTTTACGCATTCCCGTTTTGCTTTTACGCATTCAGAGCAAGACTTTTGCCGGCCTTGCGCAATCAGTGTCTGAAGTGGCGGCATACTTGATTGTGATTTGGAAGGATTGTGATTCAGATGGGATTGACGAAGCCACGACGAAGCTTGAACATAGCACGGACCCTGACGTCAGCGCTAGTGTAGCTATCCCGTTTGGTCAGAGGAACTGTTGCCTTGAGTGAGTTCAAGAGAAGAGTTTAATTCATGCACCAGGGATCCGCAACTGATGAACTCGGGGTCCTGCAAGGTGGTGCGTGTCTCAATAGTCATATTGCATGCCACCTGCTGCCTATGCGTATACACAGTTCGGACGCCTAACGCCAGGATGCTAGTATTCCTTCTCTTGAAAAACCTGTGCTGCCATTACTCCATCGTCCATCTTGCAAATCTTACCGACCAGCGGTCTAGTTATCATTGTTTACATTGGACTGTAGCTAGTCAGCAAGGCACTCATAAATCAGTCGGTGCCTTCAGTACTCACCACAAGCCAGTCCATGCCCTCGTCCACACCTCGGCCATCAACCGCACTACATGCGACAATACTCCAGTTACGATCTTTGAGTTCTCCTAATCTCAAAGCCTCGCTGATCTCGCCAGCTCCCTTGGCACCAGGTTGGTCCTGCTTATTCGCGAAAACGAGCAGTGCAGCGTCTCGGAGTTCTTCCTCATTTAGCATGGCGGACAACTCTTCTGACGCCGTTGACAAACGATCAATATCGGTACTGTCGATGACGAAAATCACGGCGGCGGTGTTGGCGTAGTAACAACGCCAGTATGGACGGATCGAAGTCTGGCCTCCAAGATCCTGGTGTGTGTTAGATCTTGTCCATCTTCTCCCAATAATGTAATTTGACGTACCCAGACGTTGAAGTTCAGGTTCTTGTATGTTACTGACTCGACATTGAACCCTATGGTCGGTATTGTCGTGACTACTTCGCCAATCTGTTGCACCTGTCAGTACCCACTATGGACCTCGTCTGCCTTTTAGCTTGAGTGTGCAGCTGCGCTTCTCAGCCTCATTCGTTCTGCGACATACCTTCAGCCTGTACAACAGGGTCGTCTTGCCAGCGTTGTCCTACGTTTGTCATCAGCACCTCCGCTTCTACAAACCCTCCACGCATCGACGGCTCTTACAAGTCCCAGGATGAGTATCCGTGTCTCCTTCTTTGCCCAAATCAGTCCCGAGAATTTAGAAATATAGCCGCCCATGGTGTGTGGTTTGCCTCGTTCGCGCCGCTTTGTCGTCGATATACGGCGTGCTTACCGCCGGAAAATGCCCTGTCGCAGGCAGGAAGCTCGGCGCGATTCTGAGGATATGGCAGAGGTTCTTGGGTATAAGGGATCGGAGCAGGGCGAGGTTCGGGAGAAGTCGTACTGGTTGTGTCGTGTGTCAAGACGGCGCTGCTGTCTGGCCAGAAAGTTGGGGCGGTGGCTCGTGCAAACAAAGCTAACAGAACCCTGGTTGGCGATGCGGCTACGCTAGGCCATGTGGGCCCGCCCCATGTTTGAGCACCGTCTTTACTTGTACACCACCAACTCCATAGGACAGACTACATGGGAAGCATGTATCTACGAAACCGCCCGAGTTATGTTTTTAAGAATACTTATGAGTTTGTATCATGGTGTTCACGCCCTGTCTCATGACAACCGGCGCAGGCGGACGCCTACCTCGGTATCTCCATCCTGTCAGGTAAGAGGTTGAAGAAGACAGGAAATTTCGTCTTAGGTCCGGACACTAAGTATAGGGCCCTGGAGTACGTCAATGTTTCTTTCTATGCCATGCAGATTGGTTGACATAGCCCTGTAACCGGTATATCGACCCAGCCTTCGCAAAGATTGTCACCACGCTTATTGCACAGCTCCGTGATGACATTGTTTACGGAAAATACTCACAGTATTTCTCCATATGTTGTGACTTTACAGCGATTCCCCGCGGGCTCAACCATTGGTAGAACTATCAGTTCTCTACCTGATAGGCCGTCAGCAGTAATGTTCATGTCGTGAATATTATTCTCTTGGTTCCTCCTTTCTAGCAAGCCATATCTGCTGCTAAGTGAGATTTACGCTGCTACGTGTAAGCTCTGTTCATGAGTTGTTTTCGTCTCAGCACATTGCACACCTTCATCACCATCGCACATCAAACTGACTCCAAAACTTGACTTCAAAATGGCCATCATGTCATACTCCCCTCCTATCTTCACCGCCGTCTTCTCTCTCCTTGGAAATAGCAAGTGCTCTGCTCTTGCAGCACTCAAGAAACTCTCCGAGAGCAATCTTATAGAAATGGCAAATGCCCTTCACGTCTCACCTGAGCTGCTCCAAGATCCTTTCAGGACCAACCACAATATCGGAGCCACACTGGCAGAGCTGGTCTACCTCAGGGAGACCAAGTAGCTTGCAAATCTGGGGAAGCCGATAAAATAAACAAAACAACCGACCTTCCACTCGAAGTCACTACTTGCGGCAAAGAAATACATTTCTCGAAAGAGCTTCACGGTCAAAACTCTTTTCAAGTGTGGATATCTCTGTTGGCTTCATTTGCTAGTTGCCCAACCGTGATCGATGGTGACCCTGTGAGCAATTTAGGATCACCGGACATCGACATAAGCGATGACAGTGACGAAACGGATGGAAAGATTATTGGTGCTTGCCAGAATGTACGCACCCACCCTATCTTGGTTCACAATTAGAGATTTTAGATTACATTGGCTGGTGAAGTACTGGTGGAGCAACTTGGTACTTGCCGCAGAAAGTAGCAGGCGTGCGCGCTCTTCAGGCTCAGAAAGACCTTGAACTAGAGGAGCTACAGCACCAGAAAACAGAGGCAGCAAGAGCGAGGGAGGAGGACAAACTAGTCAAGGCTCAGCTACTGCAGGACAAGCATTCTGCTGCAAAGAGAGCGAAGGATGAAGAAGCTGCGCGCAAGGTTGCAGAGAAGGCTGAGGCAGAGGTCACTCACAAGTTAAACAAACAACTACAACACGACTGACAATTAGCTGAAAAGAGTAAGAGAGCAAGCCTCCTCCTACAAAGCCTCTAGCACGCTCAAGAAAGCCAATTGTTGGTTGTTCCTAAGAGATTTTATTATGTCGCAAATCAGCTGTAGATCAGCGCTGAATACTTCCTGTAAACTCTGGCTTGTGGCTAGCTTTTCCGCTACGAGGGAGAGAAGGCCCGCCGAACAAGCACACCACTTCTCCAGATAGTGCACGCCTTAATTGTTTGAGAGAGCATAGTGACCGATCAGTGGAAAGATCCCGAATTTGTGAAAAGTGCAAGGTCAGCAGTGACGAGTGTTCGATTCCGAGCTTTATATAGTGATGTACTGTGACATGCTGTTAACTTTTCCTTAAGAGCATCTCTAGACCCACTTTTGATACCTCTTGGTCTTCTGGAAAGACTGCTTGTACTTGTTGTACTTCTCAGACCTCTTTACCGATGCAGTCGCATTTCTGGGAGGGATAGTATCCCAGCTGCGGGCATATGTGGCGGTCATGTGCGCAATAGCCCTTGCAAACTCAATCCAGGCCTCGAGGTTGAGGTTGTTGACTGTGTCACCGTCCTCGTGGTAGTTGACGTCGTAGGGCACACCAGCACCACCACCGAACATCTCGAATTCCTCCTGGGTCTTGATGCCCTCTGCTCCACCTGCGATGCCTCCAGCTGCGATGCCAGCCTCAAGGAATGGACCGTAGTCGGAACGACCATCGAACTCGATCTCGGTGTGGTTGAGACCAAGGTTGTCGAAATAGGCGGTGAACTCGTGCTCGGCCTCCGCAGAGCCAACAGGTCCCGTGGAGTTATACGCAGAACCATCGCCATCGTAGATCTGAATGGCGTAGTTGGGCGATGCCATCATATCGAAGTCGAGGAACAGACGGATCTTGTCCTTTTCAGCTTGCGATAGCTGCTTAACGTAGTACTCAGCGCCAAGCAGACCAGCCTCCTCACCAGTCCACCAAGAGAAGCGAACGGCGTTGTTGACAGTGAACTTAGTCAACTGGATCGCGATCTCAAGGATGGAGATAGAGCCAGATCCGTTATCGTTAATCCCAGGACCTGCCGTGACGGAGTCGCTGTGTCCGCCGACGTGAATGACATTGTCATGGTCCCCGACGATTGTCTCTGCGATAACGTTGTAGCTGGTAGCGTTCTGGACAACGGTTTTGAGGTGGACGTTTATACCAACGCCAGCCTGTAGCTGAGCCAGGAGGGATTCGCCTTGGCCAAGAGTAATGCCACCTACAGGGACATAGGGCTTAGCAGGGTCTTCGAACAACTGCAGCGAGTAGCCTTCAAGTGTGCCTTCGCCGTTGTTCCAGGCGACTACACCAAGAGCACCCTTGGCAGCTGCGAGCTGGACCTTAACACCAAAGGAGCAGGTACCACGGTTGATAAGAGCGATCTTTCCCTCCAGACTCTCGGTGAAGTCCGCCTAGCTTGAATCAGTGAAGACCCCCACGCGCGCCCATAGGAACTTTACCTCTTCGCAGCCCAAGTTAGGAATGGCAACGAGGGGACCAGAAACATCGCCTTCAGGTGCAAGGGTGACGGGGTAGACCTCGATTGTCTTGTTGTTGGCAGTCAGGTTGGCGGACACACCGACCAGGAGTGGAACTCCTTGGAGCTGCACAGTGTAGTAGTCCGGAAATTGATCAAGAGTCTCCTTGATCCAAGCAACTGTGTCCTCATGTCCTTTGCTGCCGATGACACGGTTCTTGCCCTCGGTGCTGTAGGCAATCTCCTGGAGATGCTCGGCCTTTGCATACAAGTTATCAATATCAAGCAGATGCCTCAGAGCTTCCTTTGTTGATCATCAGCCATGACTGTCTTGTAGGGGTTAGACGATGACTGACCGAAGTGACAAGCTTCTTGGTGGAGTTGGCACGAGGCAGCAAAGCCACAGCATCTACAAAGGTAGCTGCGAAGGCAGAAATAGCGGTAATAGACCTGAGCACGACCATCTTGAAGCTGTTTCTTGCCTGAATTTGCAAGACTTTTGAAGGAAGTGACCGGCTTGAGAGACCCGGCCATGCCCCTCACTTATACTCGGCATGTCCATTTCGTCATCTGTGAGATCCTAACTCATTGTGCTCCCAGTGACCAGAAACGTCTCCCACCGCTTACAGACTGATGCTGCGATGGACCAAGCAAGAAGCTCGTTACTTAAAAATGGTACAACATGCGTCCTTGGCATACTTGGCGGCCCTGACCTGCCTCTTCGGTGGTAGTGAAGTTGGATGTGGAGACGAGATGTGAAGCATCTCCGCCAATCGCAACACGACTGCATGCGAAGAGGAGCAAGCACCATGTCAAGGCGTGATAAGACACCTTGGCAGGCTTGACTGATGTGTCGTGCCTTGGGTTGCCCTATCCTTCTAAGGATGCAGGAACGAGCGGTGCTGGCCTGGACAACAGCATCAGAGCGGAATGAGTAACGGAGCGGATTCCTTCGGCAGGCGCGCATCGGTTCAAAGAGGTGTTGCGTAGATCGAACGATGTTCTTAAGATCAATGAGCGCACTTCGTGTGTGTAGTAGGTTGATCTCGTCAGCCTGGTGATGTTCGTTATCGACAAGGGCGAGTTTAAGCGAGATCAAGCAAATCTTCGAGGCAAAACGAATCGATGAGGATTTTGAGATATGCATTGACAAGAAAGACATTGCGGTATGCTTTTGAAGAGATACAAAACTGCACAGCACTTACCGCTAGCTCATACTCTTGTACTTGCTGTATGAAGGCCTCGAGAATTCAAGGTAGTCGCGTAACTCGATGTCTGTCTCCGAGCGTTTCCACGATGCAAGAGACAGGCGGGGCGGTCACCAAGAGTTTTGTAGGTTCCGAGGAAGGTCGAGAATGAGAGCTGTTCATTGAGATGCCAGACCTGCCAGATTGTTCGTGACCGCTCGAACATGCTGAGGACAACGGGGTAAGTTTGATTTAGATCTCTGCGTCGGATATAATCTAAGGGTTGAGTGCTTGTGACATTCTCTCTGGCGCAGAAAGTTTCTGGATACAAGCACATGCTTCCGGGGGAAACACTCAAGGCCGATCCGACAAAATATTACAAGATCACAGGCAATTCCATCGATGTTGTATGAACTTGATGATTGCGCAGAAACCCTTACACGGTGAGCCCATGTGCTGAGTCGAGTTCCGCTTGTTCGTTCACGCAACACGTTTTGCTGTGCCGCATGTGTGACAATCGTTCGTGAGCTTTATGTCGTAGTCAACTCGATTACAACTGTTGGAAACCACAAAAACGACAACCCAGGAGCTGGAGGTCTACCGAAGACTGAACATTGTGTCAACTACACAGATTTGGGCTATATCGGTCGCGGATTGGTTGTGTTGCCAGACTAGACTAATGGCCAGGGAAGTTTTCGCCGATGTTCATTCTGCGACCGTGAGCTGCCTCAAGATGCTGCGATGATCATGTTGATTGGTGATCTTGAAAGCTAGCTTGCTACAAAGTTCTCCGAAGAAAGCAATTGTTGGCTGGAATCGAATGTTGGCACGTTCATCTGCGGGACCATTGTATTCAGAAGGCCGATGGAGTTGCACCCATAGGTAGAGTTGAAATAGAGGCTCCAGCGATGCGACAATGGCTCCCTGCCCGGCGGGACATCGTTTTGATCATGAGTTAAATGGATGACACGTGAACAAGTTCTATAAAGAGTAGCAGTAGGCTCGTAATGGAGACCTCCTTTGATCCAGACTCCAATCAAGACGTGCAATCGCGATGATCTGGCCCATGGACTGATTGAGGCTCCACATCGACGAACCGCCGGGCCGAGAGGCATTCACAGGGGCCAGAAGTTCATATGGCAAAAGGGGGCTGAGATATGTCTTGCTGTTGTCGCAGGAGGTAACTGAGTCGGCTATGTTACGCATGATATTCGAAAACTCGATACATGCGCCTTCAAGTATCGAAATCTAGGGATGTCCGCCGCCAACGTCATGGTTTGGCGTTTCGTGCTACCGTATATGGTAGGACGCTGGTGAACGGCAGGTTTGGTTGATCTGGGGTTCACACGCGGGGTTCTGGGGTACCCCGCGCAAGGCTCCGCGGTTGCGGGTTAGTCAGATAGCATCTGTTCACGTTGCATGTATGCAGTAATGGCATGTTCCGGATCATTTCCGTACTTGTCTGCGTTATCTTGCACCGTTGTTGTGACATGAACCATTGGACGTTGTCGGTCCACCGGCCGGAAGGCAACATGCGGAGACTCAAGACGCGCTTTCGATTACTCTACAGCTAAGGGACAGCTGACAGGTGACTGGTCGATGACCTTCCTGTTGACGGACGCGTTTTAGCGTAGTCGTGGGAGATCGCGTAGATGTAGATCTTGAGATGCTCCTGTTCACCGAGCTAATAGGAGGGGTAACTTGCATGTTGACGTGTATATAACTTGAGGTAGGGCCCCCTGTTTGCTTTAGCCAGACGGCTTTCAAGTTGTTCGAATACATATCATTTTTATATCTTCCCGATTCGCAGACACCATGGATCACTCCGGGACATTGGCGCGACCAATGAGAATGCCTCGCCAAACAACGAGAATTATGTGAAGGAGTTGGAGACTGACGTTCTTATTGTTGGTGCTGGCTTTGGTGGTATCTACCTGATGCACAACCTTCGTCAGCTAGGCTCTAAGTGCAAGATCTTCCAGGCCAGCACAAACCTTGGAAGTATATGGCACTGGAATTGCTACCCAGGTGCAAGAGGTACGTTTGCTATCGAGCAGTCATCGGTTGTATACTAACGATACGTAGTCGGTTCACAAGTACCGATCTATGAGTACTCATTGCCAGAGATCTGGAAAGACTGGTATTGTTCATGCCGATACCCTGGCACCGATGAGCTTCGCCAATACTTCGATCACGTCGAGAAGAAGTTGGATATCAAGAAGGATTGCGCTTTCAACACTCGCGTTGTTGGCGCTGACTTCGACAAGCCGTCTGGCAAGTGGATCATCGAGACAGAGGATGGCCGTACTGCGAAGGCCAAGTACATGCTCCTGGCGCTCGGCTTCGCCGCAAAACGTCATTTTCCAGACTGGCCTGGCATGCAGGACTTCGAGGGCGAGATCCACCACTCCTCATTCTGGCCCGATGCCGGCGTTGATGTCAAGGGCAAGCGCGTTGCCGTTATTGGCACTGGCTCAACCGGCATTCAGATCGCTCAGGAGACTTCCAAGGAGGCTGCCTCCGTGACAAACTTTGTCCGAACGCCCAACCTATGCTTGCCAATGCAACAAATTTCTCTCACTCGAGAAGAACAAGACAGGCGAAAGGAGACAGAGTACGAGGAGATCTTCAAGAATAACCGACTAAACATATTCGCCGGGTTCCAGTATGACTACATCGAGAAGAACACCTTTGACGACAGCCCTGAGGAGCGCGAGGCGTTCTATGAGAAGCTCTGGAAGAATGGCGGCTTCGAGTTCTGGCTTGCCAATTACAAGGATCTGCTGTACGAGAACAAGGCCAACCGGGAAGCGTACAACTTTTGGGCAAAGAAGACCCGTGCAAGGATATCAGATCCTGTGAAGCGTGAGATCCTTGCTCCGCTGGAGCCACTTCACGCATTTGGTACCAAGCGGCCATCGCTCGAGCAGAACTATTACGAGATGCTTGACAGACCTGAGAACCAAGTCATCGACTGTAAGAAGACACCCATTGAGAGGTTCACCAAGGAGGGTATTGTTACAACGGACGGCAAGCTGCACAAGTTTGATGTCATTGCCCTTGCAACTGGGTTCGACTCAGTAACTGGCGGTATGAAGAACATGGGCCTGCGAAATGTTGATGGTGTTGAGCTGTCCGACACATGGAAGAGCGGAACATACACATACATGGGCATGACCCTCTCTGGTTTCCCCAACATGTTCTTCTTGTACGGTGCTCAGGGCCCCACTGCCTTCTCGAATGGACCAACGTGCGTCGAGGTCTAGGGAGACTGGATTGTCGATTGCATGAAGAAGCTGCGAGATGAGAAGATCGACTACTGCGATTCCACTCGCCAGGCCGAAGAGGAGTGGCGCGAGAAGGTTATCGAGTTGTCAGACAAGACATTGTTCCCTCAGACGAAGAGTTGGTATATGGGACACAACATCCCCGGAAAGGTTCGCGAACAGCTCAACTTTGCCGGAGGCTGTCCGCTGTACAGAGAGCTTACGCAAGCATCGCTCGACAAGGGGTTCGAAGGTTTTATCACTGCTTGAGGCGACAGTAAGAAGTGGTGCCGTTGCATGTGATTGAGCGTCTTTTGTAGTGAATAGTGCGGTTCCAAGGCGAGATTGTAAAATTCGATCCAGCTCTTTCTAACCAGTTAATCCTTCCGACGTATGGTCTATGGGTTATTTAGGTTGATCTTGTGAGGTCCTTGTTCCAGGTGTGGATGTCTTATTGTTGATGTTGATCGGTGACCATGAGCCGCCCCTCGGCACGTTTTTAGTGCTGAGTCCGTGCACGTCGGCGTCACAAGCCAGCTACGACCGAACAACGTCATGACGGCGAATTGACAGCCCGTTCATCTTCATGGAACTTTCACGCGTCGCTCGCGTTCAGTATCTTGTACCATGAGGACAGTCTTCCTGCTAGGTCGACAATGTTTTCGGCAGGGCCTGCGCCAGTCCACGTCCTTCGTCACCCCCGCGTCAACGCGCCCATTCGTCTCCGCCGCTCGCCGACAGCTCGCAACGCCCCGATTTAGCGGTAAAACAATACTATGGTCTGGTGCAGCGGCAGCCGGTGGTGCTGTTCTCAGCCCACTCGCGTTCGTCGAAATTAGCCATGACAAGTCTGGGAATGGAGAAAAAACTCATGAAGAGGCCATGCTCGAGGTCTCCAGAAAAGAGCTCGCAGAGCAAGTACCCAAGTCCTTGGAGAACTCAAAGAAGTACCGGCGTGGTATCTACTTCTTTTTAGAAGACTACATAATCGAACCTATAGCCACAGGCTTACGGTTTCTCCATCTGGTAATTATATTCGTACCCGTCATTGTGACAATACCAACAATATGGATTGGCGCAAGGAATGCCGATAGAGACAATGAGAGGAGCGGTACATTGTGGTGGTATGGTTTTCTTGTTGGCTCAATGGAACGCGCTGGAGCGGCCTTTATTAAGGTAGGTATCCAGACCGCGCTTCTATCTCGATTATATCTGATATGTGTTAGCTGGGACAATGGGCCGCTTCTCGAACAGACATCTTCCCCACCGAAATGTGCTCGATCATGTCCACCCTTCACTCCAACGCTCCAGCGCATTCACTCGAGACTTCGAAACGCACAATAGAAGTTGCCTTCGAGGGCCGCTCGTTCGATGACATCTTCGAGGAGTTCGACGAGAAGCCCCTGGGTGTGGGCGCAATCGCCCAAGTATACAAGGCCAAGCTCCAGCCGGATTTGGCCACGCTGCAAAACAACACAATCGATCGGGAAGAGCCGAACCTGGCGCGAAAGATCAAGAAGAACGTCGATGCGACATTGAAGAGCACGCCGCAGAGGGTACCTTCAAGTCATGTTGCTGTCAAGGTCTTACATCCTAAGATTGAGAAGATCGTCCGCAGGGACTTGCGCATAATGGCTTTTTTTGCCGCTGTGATCAATGCAATTCCGACAATGGAGTGGTTCTCATTCCCAGACGAGGTCGAACAATTTGGCGAAATGATGAGGCTACAGCTTGATTTACGCATCGAGGCTGCTAACCTTACCATCTTCCGCCAGAACTTCAAGGATCGGTCAACAGCATGGTTCCCTTACCCCTACACAGAGTACTCCACCCGCAACGTCTTGATCGAGGAGTTTGCGCAGGGCATTCCTATGGAAGATTTCCTGCAGAACGGCGGAGGCGTCTTCCAGAAGGACATTGCTGACGAGGGACTCGATGCTTTCCTCAACATGGTTCTGATCGACAACTTCATTCACGCTGATTTGCACCCCGGCAACATCATGGTCCGCTTCTACAAGCCTGAAAAGCTTGATGTACCAATCTTTACCCGAAAGGAAAACCGTACCACTGGCCCCGTGGAGTCACCGGATGTTACGGAGGAAGTGTTGGAACGCTTGAGGCCGCACCAAAAGAATCCCGAGCAATGGAAGGCCCGGCTAAAGGAGATTGACAACGAGGGATACCGACCACAACTCATCTTTATTGACGCAGGTTTGGTGACGGAGCTCAACAGCAAGAATCGCACGAACTTCCTGGATCTTTTCAAAGCCGTTGCTGAATTTGATGGCTACAAAGCAGGACATCTGATGGTTGAACGGTGCAGGCAACCTGAGGCTGTCTTGGATGGGGAGGTGTTTGCATTACGCATGCAACACTTAGTCTTGGGCGTCAAGAGTCGTACTTTTGCGCTCGGTAACATCAAAATCGGAGACATTCTGAATGAGGTATTGTCGATGGTGCGAACGCATCATGTCCGTTTAGAGGGCGACTTCATCAACGTCGTTCTTAGCATCTTGCTCCTGGAAGGCATCGGACGAAATTTGAACCCAGAATTGGATCTCTTCGCTGGGTGAGTTCTACAATCTGTGTAATCTCTCCACACACTAACATACTATAGTGCACTTCCAATCCTACGACAACTCGGTGCTCAGGGCGGCGGCTCAATGATTCGTGGTGGGGATTTCTCAATGCTCAAGGTCTGGGTCGGCCTTGAAGCACGTAGCTTCTTGCAAGCTTCCGTCGATACAGTAAGTTCCTTCAAGCAATCTATCGCAACTTGTAGCTGACCAACTGCAGGTTGAACGCTGCGTCAAGTACGATCAATTATCGCCCAATATCTAGATTTCTGGAAAAGCTACTTGTCTTAGCCTCGCTGCATACACAACAGAACATGGTGCCTTTTGTATATTAACATAGCGATTCGGAGTTGGATTACTCCCAGAGTACACAAGTCGCATAATGATACTACATACATACTTTCAACTATGTAAAGCTGCCCAATTTGCCATCAGCCTTTCAATTATCACCTTCAAACATCTACTTTAGAAGCTCGCAAAGCTCAACAAACCTGCCACAGCAAAGTCTCCAACGCAAGACGCATCATCAGTATTGGAGTCGTGATCGTTGCTTACAATGATTATGTACCTACGAAGTGGGGCGGTTTGGCGGGATATGACGTCACAGTCGTCAGCTCCACGAGCTGTAGCTACGATTGCTATCTTCCACAACAACAGCTCTTCTTTGTCCGCACTTCAACGATACCCGCTTCTAAGGTTACTTCTTTACGCTCAATTCATACGCTCGAACATAAGGTGTCGGGAACACAACACAGTCGCCGACTACGATCACCACTTTTACACCATGGAGCCCGCCGCAGCCGGAATTCTCTATGCGGCAGAGAACGTCCTGCAAGGTGCTGCCGCTCTTGTGAAGGGCATCACGAACCCAACTCTACCTATCAAGGCCAACCTTACACGGATCACCTCTGTCCCATTACCACGATCGCAGCACACTGTCTCAATCGTCAAAGGACGAGCCTACATCTTTGGTGGTGAGACAGCACCAGGACAACTTGCCGACAACGACATGCACATTGTCATCCTACCATCGAGCGGTGTACTTGACGCAGATTATACTTCGAAACCCGCACAAGCTGCGAACGGCTTCGACGATGTACCTGGACCACGAAAGGGTCATACTGCAGTAGTCATTGGAGATACCATGTACGTGTTCGGAGGAGAGGGAGAGAGCGTCACCAACGAAAACGGGAGGGTATGGGCATATCACACAGTCTCGAGCACGTGGTCATTCCTTGACCCTGCTCCCGGCACGTTGTCTCCAAGCCACCGGGTAGGACATACCTCAGCAAGCTCAGATCTTCCAGCTGCAAAGACAGTCACATACCAGGAGAAAGTACCTCAACAGCCGGCAGATCCCTCAAAGAACGTTCCTGAACCTCCCGTGGATGATACTTGGGGCACTATCTTCGTGGTTGGCGGACAAGACACCTCGAAAAGGGAGCTTGCAACCGACGCTCTAGCTTTCGACGTGAAGACACGCACATGGTCGAACATACCCTCGCCACCAGGACAGCCTCGTGAAGGTGCTAGCCTGTCACTCGCAGGCAGCAGGCTATATCGCTTCGGAGGCAAGGGTGTCGAGACTTTCGCATCTGGTGCTCTGGAGTACCTTGACGTTGCACCTGTTTTCACACATGCTGAAGGCGGCACAACACCGCTGACAAGTGGTTGGGCCTGGCAGGAAGTCTCGCACGTCGAGTCGAAAGATCTGTCAGCGCCCCAAGCGCGGTCTAATGCTGGCCTGGTCGAGGTCACTACCGGCCAAGGACGGCACTATCTGATTGCCATTGGTGGCGAAGGCGAGGATTCGAAGCACTTGGATGACATCTGGTCCTTCCAGCTGCCTGCAGAGCACGCTACTGCTGCAGCAACTAAGGATGCCATTCGTTCTTCCATCAAGCGCGGCACACATGAGGCAACTTGGGCAGAGGTGCTCTACAAGTATGTCGATACCAAGGGCGAGGAGGAGAAGGACATCCCTGGCGAACCGAAGCGTGGTCTTGGGGAGAGGGGTCAATTTGGTATTGCGAAGGGGACAGAGGTCGATGGGGCAACGTGCGTTGTCTGGGGTGGTATCAATGCTGAGGGCAGCGTACTAAGTGATGGCTGGATGGTCACCGTAGACAGATAACTATAATTGCCCTGCAAAACAAGGCTTTACAACTTGGATCCGCTGTAAAAGCAGCGTAAAAACTAATTCGCTGTTTAAAATAACAAAAGCCCTTACTAAAGGTTGATCAAGTTACAAACACTAAATTCCTGCTAACCATAACCACCTAGAGCATAGAAGAGCTGTAATGAAGTACAGCGGTCTATAGTGGTATTCTCTAAGTATACATACGAATGAAGAGGCCTACTATACGCTTAGAAGGTATAGTAGATGTACTCTAAGGTAGGCCTTGAGTCTTCTCTATAGTCAAAGAGCTAGTATACTAAAGAGGAAAATCAAATAAGAAGTTGAAATAAATTGCCAATAAGGGAAGTGTTGAAATTGTCTTAAGCAAAAGCACTATGTAAATGGTTCTCAGGGATGAGCGAGGATACAGGAAGCTGTCAGGGTTGAGTTATCACCTAAGCAAAGCTTGTGGTGATAAGGGGGTAGTAGCTGTCTAGTCGAAGACTGTGGCTGCTGGTAGCAATGAGTAGTACAGAGTATACTGTCTGGCTTGAGAGTAGGTGAGATTCCAATAACAAAGTCAATTGACAAGGTTGAACACAACCCATAAGGGTTGTGTTCCTACTTACTGTATACTTGAAATGTCCCATGATGTCTCACAGCCTCTCACAGAGTTCCAAGTGGGGCCTTGTGAGATTTGTGGGACTTCCATAGGAATTTGTGAGCAGGGACCAGCTGGGGATACTGTTACGATCCTACGTCCCACAATAGGACGACAAGCAATAAGTAACCACCAACCAAACATGGGAGCCTGGAGGAAGGTGCAGCAAGGCAAGGCCGCCTGGCCGGCGCCTAGGGGATTGCTCTCAGCCGAGCTGACACATGTGACAGAGCTTGTCAACGAACAATGTCACGTGAGTGCTCGTCAACGAGCAGATCTGGTGGACTGTATATATATGTGTAGGAACACAACCCTTATGGTTTGTGTTCAACCTTGTCAATTAAGTTTGTCATTGGATCTCAACCAACCTTCAAGCTAGACAGATTGCCTG